TGCACCCGAGCAACCATCAGAAAGCTCTGCAATTCTTTCCAAATTCACCTCCCCTTCAGATAAATTGAAGTTAGAACAGCCTTTCTTCAACATCTGAAGACGTGCTTCGCAATCAGGAGGACCAACGTATATGTGACGATCTAATCTTCCAGGACGTAATAATGCTGGATCTATTTCAGTCGGCTTATTCGTTGCAGCCACAATGACAACTCCTTTAAGTTCCTCGACACCGTCAATTTCATTTAGCAAAGACGTCAAAACGTTTTGAGCGGCAGAAGTTTCATTTTCTCTGTCACCGGAAATAGCGTCTATTTCATCAAAAAAAATTATAGATGGTGCAGCAGCTCTAGCTTTTCTGAATATTTCCCTAATTGTACGCTCTGACTCACCAACATACTTATTGAATATCTCAGGACCTTTCACAGCCAAAAAATTTAACCCTGACTCCGTCGCAAGTGCCTTTGCAGTGAGAGTTTTGGAACAGCCTGGCGGTCCATATAACAAAACACCCTTAGGAGCTCTAATACCTAATTTTTTGAAGGTATCAGCCGCTTCAAGAGGTAATTGTACAACTTCGACAAGTTTCTTTTTCAAGTCCTCTTGCCCCACGATATCAGACCAATACACCTTTGGCATTTCCAAAAATATTTCACGCATAGCAGAGGGTCTTATTTCAGGCAATGCAACTTCAATATCATCAAGTGTTAATTTGATATCTTTCAGTTGAATATGCGATTCCAAACCTCTATTAATGGCCACCATTACTGATTCTCTACACAATGCTGTCAAGTCTGCACCAACATATCCATGTGTTTTCATAGCAATAGATTTGATTTCATCTAAAGTCAAATCATATTTTGCGTCATTCATTTTTTCAAAATGCTTAAGCAAAATATCATACCTAGCTGCAACGTCTGGAATTCCTATTTCAATCTCTCTATCAAATCTTCCTGGACGTCGTAATGCTGGATCCACTGAATTGGGTCGATTAGTAGCACCTACAACAACGACTTTACCGGAGTGTCCCATCCCATCCATGACTGTTAATAGTGTAGCAACGACTCTCGATTCAGTCTCCCCACTATCATCAGAATTCCGATTTGGAGCAAGAGAATCTATTTCATCAAGAAATACTATTGATGGCTCGAATCTTTTTGCTTCTTGAAAGATTTCTCTTATTGCATTCTCAGTTTCTCCCAAATATTTTGAAACTATCGAAGGTCCATTTACAGTTAATATGTGAGCATTCACTTCATTGGCGACACATCTTAACAACATAGTTTTACCGGTTCCAGGCGGACCATGAAGTAAGACACCTCGAGGAGGAGGTATTCCAAAATCTGAGAAGAGAGCGGTATTATGAAGCGGAAGCTCGATATTTGACTTGAGGAGTGATATTTGATTCGACAATCCTCCTACTTGGGAAAAACGTAATGTATGAGGTAAGTTTGGATACTTGGAATATATATTTTCACCCTCCTCCTTATAGATGATTGAACATTGACCACGAGAGAAAATGTAAGTGGGGGTGGTAGTCTCTATCGTAGGTTTTGGTGCTGGAGCAGATGGATCAGATATACTTACGCGTTCTAATTTTGCTTCCAAACTTTCTTCCTCATTAACATCTACTACTAAAATGTCAGCTTTTATCTTACCTTTTTCATCACCTAATGATAAGCTCAAATCCCTTAAATTTAAACCAGGCGAGATCAACCCAATATCATCAAATGCCTTCTCTATTGACTTGGCCAATCTACCTTCAATTTGAATTCCATTATCCTTAAATGACAAATGTATCAGAATAGACTTGGCATATTTGGGTGCTGCAGAATATTTTTTGATTTCCACTCTATCTCCCAAAAGCATTCCACCAAGCTCACGAAGACTAGTCGATATTTGTATGACATTCTTATCCTGTATCTCAAGATCACTACTAATAACACCCAAGACTCCCTTGTCGCTGCAGTCAATCTTGGAGATATAAACAGTGGATTTGTTAGCAATATCTAAGGCCTTCAATAACTGTTCATTCACTTGAACCTTTAGAATCGATTTCAGAGAATCTGAAAACGAGGGCCGCACAATGATTTCCTTTGGCAATTTTGGTTTCTTGTTAGATCCATCAACGCTAGCAGTGTCTCCAGAAGCCTTCTTAGAACCAGCCTTAGAAGACATTCCACTTTTGTACGTTTTTATTTTGGACTATCTACTTTAGTCAATTTGGAGTCATTGCAAAAAAAAAAGAAGATATCAATGTAGTCATGTGATCAAGTATAGTTTAAATAGATCCTCGATGAGCATACTTTAAAGAGGAAGCTGAAGTCACTTCTTAAAGAGCACTATAGAACGTTGATTAGGAAAAGAACATACATGGATTCTAATAATGATAAAGTGCGGAGGAAGGTTACCGTGGATGATAAAATTTTCTCGGATGTCTTTTAGTACGAAGGATAATGTTGACTCAAGGTTGATTCTGAGTAATGACTTATATTTTCAAAATCCCAGACTTAACAAAGGCATCAAGGCACCTTTTGACGGACCATTTCCTTCTCCATATTCTCGATCGCTGGTAGATTTTGAGTCTATTTTTTTGGACTGGACAGAGTTGGGAAGCAATAAAATACTGGAAGAAGTGAATATTGACAAAGAACTAAGACAAAAGTTACAGCCGTCCGTGGACAGTATCCAGGAATTTATTGGAGAAAGATTCAACTTGCTGTTTAATGAGAAGATTTGTGTGCTCTGCGGTCTTTCAAATATAATGTTGGACATCGACAGCACTTCCACTGCAGAGATTAACACCAATTTTCCAAACAGACGAACCATTCATTCAACCAAGCTTCGATCAGTGGGAAAGTATTTATTTGAGCTTCATATGAAACTATGTGCTGTGTTTTCTAACCATAATTACTTATCTTTATCATCAGAGGACATAAAATATAATTTATCAGTATTCAAAGACGAAACGTTTCTTATTACTGAATTCATGAAAAAAAATTCAATCTATAACTGCATCATACCATACAAAGGAGCCATGAAGAATGGTCCAATATATTCTTTAGAAACATATGAGAATGCGAGGAGCAAAATACGAGACGAAACTTGCGTTGGTAGCTTCTATACGTTGATTGGGTTGTTAAACACAAAATTTGATCACGAGATGGTTACTGAAGACCTTATTGATAAAAAGATAATGAAAGGTCCCTCTGGTATAATAAGCATCGCATCAGAATTAATGAGTAAACAAAGAATGTGACATGCATGAAATAGAAACTATTTATATTCATTATTAAAGTATATCTACAAATACAAGGATGCACAGAATACGATATCTCTTTTGATTCTTTCTTGTGCATCACTCATCTTTGAATGCAACACAGAGTCACCAACTATTAATGCAGCATTCTTAACTTCACGGCAAATCTCATCTAACCGCGTTATAACTCTGACAATCGTTCCTTCAGCTTCCACGCTGATTTGCATAATTTCATTGAAAGATAGTCCTCTAGCCCATTCATATACGACATTAACTAATGCAAATCTTTTTCTTTCTAAAAATTCTTCTTCTTCTGACAGAAGTACTACATTCTTATCATTGAAAACTTTCAAAAGCTTTTGCATAATTTCCAATATTTTTCCTTTTCCTTTTTCCAAACGAGGGCTTATGGGCTGATCTTCTTCTTCGTTAGTCTTTCCTTCGTAAACAAAACACGAAAGCAAAGCAACTATTTCTTCGGGTTCAAAGTCTCCAAGGAAATTATCTAAAACAAGTTCTGTTATTACAAGCTCCCAACCTGAATTAATTTCGCAGGCTACACGGCCCTTCAAAACAACGTTATGGTTTTGATCTACGAATCCTAATGATTCCAAAACATCAAGTCGCTGCTCGTAATCAGGCAAAAGCTCCAAGTTTTCATCAGATATCAATCTCTGCAAGGAATTAATCTGTGACTTAATATTTTCTTGCTCTAAAAGCTCAGCATAATGTTTTCTAAAGTTTGAGCAAAACTCCTGCTGCTCAATATCTTTAATAAGAAGCTTTTTCTTTTCTAAAAGCTCGTGCAAAGACAATTGAGTAACTTGTGAAAACTTAACTTCTTCCCATTTGTTTTGAAGCCTAAGGATAATTTTAATTTGTTCAGAGGCTTCCTTGACTGCTGGAGGCAAGTTTTGAAGAACATCTTTGATTTGAGCTTTCATAGCATAACGTGCAATGAAATTAACATTTTGAAATGGAATAGAATCAACTTTAAGGGAGCCACTAAATTTTATCTTTTTGAAAAAGTTCAAGAGATAATTTTGGATTGGTATATAGGGTAATTTAAAAGCATTAGTATAATCTTCGTACTCCTTTCCATGATCAAAAGTTAAAACAAGAACTGAATCTGTGTTTGGATCTGATCTAATTAAGAAACCAACATGCAAGCTCCCACTATTGTCCTTATAACAAAGTAGCCTTCCAATTTTGAGCAAGCTATTTCTAATGGCTGACAGCTCTTGAATATGTTCAAAAATATCACCATATAGCCTTTCGTATCTCCTAAGTAACTCAAAAGTATGCGACAGATCGTTTAAATCACATTCCAGGCAAGGCTCGATATTAAACTGAGATAGCTGTTCCTTCAAGTGTTTAACAGTCTTTTGATGTTCAGGTAATAGAACTTGCGTAGAATTCTCACTGAAGGAATGCTTTATCATTTCCTCAACTCTAAGAGCCTCAATTCGTAATAAATTCAATATCATGTTGTACGTGAGCCTGAATTGAGACAGTAATTTAGTGGGTGTGCCCAACGTAACTTGTTTAAAGTCTGTTGGGGCTATGGGATCATTATACGCCATGACAATAACAGTTCCTGTAGCATCTAAACCTCTTCTTCCTGCCCTACCAGACATTTGAGTAAATTCACCAGGAAGGAGATTTCTGAATTCTCTTCCATCATGTTTTCTCATCGAAGAAAAAACCACTGTCCTTGTTGGCAAATTGAGACCCATTGCAAACGTCTCCGTGGCAAATAAAGCCTTGACTAATGACTTCGAGAACAATATTTCAATACATTCCTTCACAATTGGTAATAAACCCCCATGATGAACTGCAATACCCCTACTCAATAAATCCCTTATCTTCAAGATTTGCGGAAGCTCCCTATCTTCCTTCTTTAAACGAGCAACAGCTCTATCAACAAACATATGTATCTCTGATTTTTGAGCAGCAGTACAAAAGTCGATATTATTAAGTGTATCGGCATATTCCTCACATTTCTTTTTAGAAAATACAAATACAACAGCCGGTAGCAAATTGTGATTCTTTAAATAATGCATAAGAGTGATCCAAGTATTCTTGTTGGGTCCATCTCTCATAAACCCCGACTTTCCAGTTGGTTTATTCAAAAAATTTCCTCTACCACGAGTAGCCATTCTACTGTTTCCTCCTCTTGCTGTACCACCTCGTCCACCGCGACTACCTGGACCCATAACGACGTTAGGGGGACCAGTCTTAGGTTTCTTTTCTAATGCTTCTCTATGCTTTTTGAACTCAGACTCAACAAATTGTCTTTGAGAATTGATAACTTTGTAGATGTCATTTTTGGCCCATATGAATATTTCCAACGGGACAGGCCTTTTTGGAGTTGATATGACATACATATCTTTCTGCTTTGTCCTTCCAACCCAGTTTGCAAATTCAAAAGTATTAGGCACAGTAGCTGAGAGTAAAACATACTTCACATGGTCAGGCAACATGATTATTACCTCTTCCCAAACTACACCACGATCAATATCATTCACATAATGCACCTCATCAAAAATCACAAATTCGACATCCCTAATGAGGTCCGATCCCCTATAAAGCATTGACCTCAAAATTTCTGTAGTCATAATCAAACAGTTTGCATCGGGATTAATTTGGACGTCACCTGTTATTAATCCAACATCTATATCCTTGAAAGTTTCTTTGAAATCCCTGAACTTTTGATTCGATAATGCTTTGATTGGAGATGTGTAAATTGCTTTCGTCATATTCCGATTTGCCATTGCAATTGCATACTCTGCAACTACAGTTTTTCCTGCTGAAGTGTGAGCAGCTACGAAGACTGAATCACCTTGCTCCAAATGATAAACAGCTTCTTGTTGAAATGTATCCAACTCAAAAGGCCACTCCCGAGCCATGTGAGGCACTAGCTCATCGAAGTTCTCCAACTTATGATCTAAATCTACAACATGTGCCCAAGTCTGTTTGTGTGCGTTACCTTGATGAAAGTTGTTGCGCATTGCAGAGAAATCCATGTCAACTAGGCCATCTATCTCTTCGGTATTAAAGGGTTGTTTTGTGATACTTGAAGGTACTGGTCTTTGTTCCAGGGTCGAATCTGCATTGATGAGATTTGATATATTTTCATTATCTATTGATTGCTCAGTGTCATCATCTTCTTGCTCAAGGTTAGTCAATTGTTCATCTGAAGACACCAGACCCGATAACTTCAATCCTCTAGATAAACCCTGTGGTATATCAAATAGCCCTAGTTCATTTCTATGTAAGTAGATTGTTTCATCGGAAACTTTAGTTTTAATCTTCGAATTTTCCACTAATCCACCTGGCTGAAACGGCAAAAAGCTCGTTTGACCTCTCAAAGCATCCTTTCTTGAAGAAACTTTTCGCGTCATGGACATTGAATTACCTGAATTAGCATTATCTAGATCAGACAATCGCAACTCCTCTTTGCAGTCTTCTATTTTTCCATGTATACCTCTTCGCTTCATTCTAAAAGTCGTCCTGGTAATCGAATTGGGGATGTTCAATAGTCCATCATATATATCATTTTTGTCTAGTTGAGGTAAAGAGTCCATTAAGTCTAATAAGTCCCATGGTAGCTTATTAGAGGGCTCCAAAAATTCTTCTGACAACGCTTTATTTACATCGTCAATATTTTCATTAGGTGCTGAATACTTGGTTTTAGTGGCAGGATTCACTACTTCTATCGATGAGTTCCCCTCTGTCACCTCACCTGGTAAGCCATTATCATCTGTTACCATTATTAGATAAAAGGAATCTGTCTTTTAAAAGTTTCCTGACTTTTTTAAAAATCTGACTTGCTACATATAGTTTAATCGCATCAAAAAATCAAAGATTCTACTTAAATCTCAAACCGAAAGCTTGAAAAATCGATTGACGTTATTTATTAAATCAAGCATCATGTGCTAGTATATAAAGGTTTATTTAAAGTTTTGGCTTCGTAGAATCCACACCTCCTGCTGTAGCAGCTGCATTTATCTCCAACTTGCCTGAGTCATCTTCGCCTTTGGGATCATTCCCGAAAAATACAACTGTAACAGTTAGATCATCTCTGTAACGTCTTGATACAGGATTTGGAATAGATATTAACATTGAGGTTTGTTCCCTCGAGCCGCCATTAGATAAAGCATTTCTAATTAGATGTGTAGAGACATTTTTGTCATCTAACAAAAACCCATTAGAATGTTTGGATTTCCTAAAAGGCTGTTTGGAAGATTTATCATTTGTGATATCTGAAACCTCAGGGAGTTTATTTTCTGAAGAACCAAAGTAGCTCCAAAACGAATTTTGAGGTTTAACCATTTTTTCTTTCTCCATCCATTTCACTACCAATCCAACAATCTCTTCGTTCGACAACATTTCATAGAGACCATCTGAAGCCATAACAAGGAAATCATGATCTTTGGGATTGATTTTGGTGGTAGTTATGACAGGCTCAGCTGTCACATACGGTGGTGAGTTGAGATTATGAGGTAAGGTCCTGCCGAAAAACTGTTTATAAATTCTTTCTTGAATTGAACGCGGTAATTTATAACGGCAATCTCCAAATGCTCTGCTTGGCTCAAGGGTACCAAGAACTCTTCCATTTTTCACAACATTTGGTTCATCAGGGTGTTCACTGATGACACGAGCAACTTCGGTAGGATTTGAACCTGTTTGGTCAATACTTAACTGTCTAACAGTCCAACGGTTGTCTTTAAATGAACCAAGAAGAGCCCTCGAGTCACCGCTTACCGCAACTTTAAGCATCTTGGAGTTTGTATCGTAGAAGGAAAGTAAAGCACAGGACCCTGAGAGGGCCGGCATTAATAATTCAGCTGCTTTGGCCTTGTTATTATCAGTTAAGAGCTTCTCAATATTTTTATTTACAATTTCATGGTCTAATTTTAAAAACCCGTTCTTAATAGCTTGATCAATTGTTGCACTATTGGGAACGTATCTCAAGTTGTCCTCGCTAGCTGGCTTGAAGATAGTACCAAACTCGTGTATTACGGAGCTAATCAACTGATCTCTCAATTTGCTACTGGTAGTCCAACCACCGTGGCCATCATACACGCCAAAAAACATCCAGTCAGTAGATGCCTTGACGTTGTTATCTTGTAAAATTGGCACCTGAACAATTTCCTCAGCACGGTCATCTTCTATAGGAGAATTTGAGGGCAATTGACAGATATCATATCGCGTCACTCCTTTACCTCTATTAACAATATAGCTTTCTTCGTATTGCCTTAATTTAGCGCTCACCTGTTCTTCATTCAACAAATATATGCCTTCTTTATGTTGTTGGCTTCCAATACCATTTTTTTGATGCATGGAGGATGTTGACGTTGAGAAATATCTTTGGTCATCTGCAAATTTGCCTTTCGATGGGAGAGGAAAGAATTTGGAATTAAACCCTGGAGCGCCGCTATTTGGAGGTAAGGTATCCAAGTTATAATAGTTTGCATGATTGAATGATATAAATGATCCTACTATTATAATGCCAGAAACAAGTGCAACATTTCTTCTTCTTGATAGTTTATGATTCCCATACAGCTTTTCTTTACTTTTAGTAGAACGAACTTCATCTGAAGCTGATTTTAAAAACCTTTGGCTATTGGAAGCCAAACGCCTACCTGTCAGAATACTTCTGCTTGCCACAAGAAACACTCTTGGTTTTGAAGATAAAACAAAAACCATAGTAAGTATTGATTTAGAACGATGAAACTGACTTTCTCAAAGCCAGATAATACTCTTACTATCAGTATTAAATAATATTGAAAAAGAATACTCGTCCCATATTCAACCTTCTTTACAGTGTAGGGGATATCAATATTGTTTGCGTGTAAGGTGACACAAAAAAAGAGAGTGGATTATATCTGAAGAGAAAGATCACAGAAGCTTTCACGACATTCAACTCGTGAAAAAGGGATACAATGAGAGTACAACACATTGAGTTTAAACCGCCAAATGTATTATTATGTGGAATATACAGTAGCTAATCGCCATTTATCTTTTTGAAGTAATTCGTATTCGATTTATCATACCAAATCCTGATAGCAACACCACAACGTCAGTGAACCTCTTCAGTTCACGGCACGCCTAGAGCACTTGGATACGACATCACCTAGTACTTTCTAATGTTACAACACCATAAAACACCACACTAAAATTATCTGATCACCCATCGAAATACAAATTACTTACAACTGCGCTAACAGACCCTTAGGTAAAATTAAGCAGCGATAGTGACTTCAACATCTACACCTGGTTCGATAGTGATCTGGGTGATCTTCTTAACGATAGATGCTGGAGCTTGCAAGTCAATGATACGCTTATGAATTCTCATCTCAAAGGTATCATAAGTCTTGGAACCTTCACCATTTGGTGCCTTTCTGGTGTTGATCTTTAAAACCTTAGTTGGCATTCTGACAGGACCCTTCTTGACAATGTCATTTTGAGCAGCATTGGTAATGATGTTGTTAGACACCTTTTCTAATTGCTTGACCTTGGTAGAAGTTAAGGTAATTCTGATCTTGTGGATCTCTTGTTCTTGTTCTTGAACCTTTTCCTTATTGATAGGAGCTGACATGTTGACGGTTATTAACGACGTTGTTAAAGAAAAACTAAGACCTCTATAGACTCACTTAAAGCAGAAATTTTCTACGGTAGCTAGTGAAAAATTTTAGTCGTGCAACATGGCGAATATTAACAATTGATAGATCGCACGACATAGCCCAGAGAAAAAGAACGTGACCATTCTATTTAAACACACTACAGTATCCTAATAGTACGATGGATTAAGCTTCCATTTTCCCAGGGATAAGCAGATGATAGAATCTATACACTGTTCATCAGTTGTTAGTTTATTAATACCGGAATTAAAAAATTGCCACTATTCGTTTGTAAATTGTAGTGTTGGTCAGATGTCAATTATAAAGTTTTTCTCCATGAATATTGTATTATGAGATTAAGTCAGAGAGATTCCCAATTGATTAATTCATCATCAAAACCATACAAACGACGTGGAAAGACGATACTTACTTTGTCTTTTCCCATACATTCAAATGCTTTCGTTTATAGATACGACATATAAAGAAACTTGGTAATGAGCAAAAAGGTCCCTCACTGACATGGGTCAAACTTTCTTACACAAAACCGAACGAGATATTTTTTGCAATTGCATTTGAATTAATTATTCTCCAGCTTCGGAAACCTTCCGTTGGTGTCTATAGACTACAGAGAAATCTCCTGAAGCTAGAAATAGAAATTTCTGAATATTCCAGGTCTTTCTCTTCTCAAAAGTTTTTTATCTTATTTATGCATTGAACTTTTACGTAATAAACTATTTACAATTGTACCATATGGTTTTCATTCAGTAGTTTTCTCCATCTTTTGAGGCAGGGTCTTGGAGAGCTCTTTCTCAAGACCCAGAACACACTTCCATAGCTGCTTTTTTTCTGCTTCGTCTGCATTACCACTAGTAGCCCATCTAATTTTACCTTCATTGTCCAACACATAGACGTAACCAGAACACATATTATCACAAAGTAGTTTTGATCTGACATCATACGAGAAAATATGTTCAGGCAAAATCATATATTTTCGATACCTTTCTCTGTTTACTGCCTTTTTTATACGCCCCACGAAAATCTTTACAAGAAAACCTTTAATCCAACTTTGAGGAACATTTACATCAATGATCTGTGCACTTGGGTACATCGAGAGAAATTTGTCATATTTTTCGTTTAGGTAGTTACCATCCTTGGTTTCAAAATATGTTCTGGAGCATTTATCGCCTGAATATGTAGAATAGATCCTCAACACACTGACTTTGTTCTCAAGGAGCTCATACAAGCTCTGGTGCTTTTTCAGAAGCGTAGCTGAAATAAACTCAGGGAAGTATTGAGCTCTTTCTTGCTTGAAGTACGAGACTGGAGGAGTGAAAATCTTTCCATTGGTATTCAAAAATGATTTTGATTCGTAAAATGGTGAATGTGATATTTCATGATCAAGCTTTTTCTGTCGGCGTTCTTTCGCTTCCAGTCCAAAGAGCTCCCTTATTAACCATCCGATAGAAAACACGTCTGCTGTGCGATGATTTAGAAGCACTGGTGACTGATACCCAAATGGTCTTGTTATAGTTCTTGGTTTTGTAAGTGGTGCTTTACTAGCTGCCAGAATTGTTTTGGCAAACCTTGGAACATGACCTTCATAAACACGCCAACATTGACTAAAATACCTTTTATTGACTAGTGCCATCTATCAAAGTTTTTTACTATTCCCATTCTTAGCACTACAAATGTATGTTGTTGGATCTGTTTAAAGATGTCTTCAATTGTCGCACAAATGTCGCATAAATGTCGACAATTACCCGGGACTCTAACATATAACACAACTCACTATGAGCGCTTCAGCTTCCAACGATGATCAATTAAATATACATAAACTACAAGGAGAGCTGGAATAATATGTCAATTAATTTGCTAAATGGACTAGCAAATCAGTCTGTGGATCTAGTTTTAGAGGATCTATTGGTTAGATTTGTTGTTAATGTTCCAGCTGAAGATCTATCATCAATAGAGAGGGTGTTTTTTCAAGTGGAGGAAGCTCAATGGTTTTACACAGATTTTATACGGACATTGAATCCAGCATTGCCAGCCATGAAGATGAAAATATTTGCGCCAAAGATTTTAGAGAAATGCCCATTGATTTGGAAATGGGGTAATCCTCAGGATGCAATTGCAAGATTTGGAAAGTATAAGTCTACGATTCCTGTGAGAGGAGTTGCATTTTTTAATAAGTATCTCACGAAAGTGCTTTTGGTGAAGGGAATTGAGTCCAATACTTGGTCTTTTCCCAGGGGTAAGATATCAAAAGATGAAACAGATTTAGAGTGTGCCTTGCGAGAAGCTAAAGAAGAAACTGGGTTTGAT